TACAATTTCTTATAATAAATCCTAAGACTTTAGAAAACTGAGAAACTATATTATTAATATGTTCCACAAAATGCAAACTAGAATCAAATGTGACTTCAAAATCTCGCATCTGCGTAATCCTTTATAAAGATATGTTATTTATTTGATAATCATGCAAACTCAGATATAGTTTGCGACCATATGTATAAATTTTACTTTTATCCAAATATAGGAAGAGATTGTTACTTGTACACCAATCAGAGATTGATTTTATTCAATTCTTCTTGTAGAAATAAACAATGTAATTAAGAAATCACATTTGAGTAAATTTTCAAATCATCAGCAAATAATAAATGTTTACACTCGTAAAGATGTGGAGAGATCATTGATAAAAAATAAAAACAATAAGGGTCCCAAATTAGATCCTTGAGGAACACCTGATGTAGGGCAATATATTCTAAAATAGTAACCGTTGTAAGCAACAAATTGTCCTCTGTTATGTAGATATGATTTTATTAATGTAATAAGAGAAGCACTAAAACCAAAATTATTTAATTTATGAATTAATATTTTGTGGTCAATCCTGTCAAAAGCCTTGAAGAAATCAGTGTATATGACATCAACCTGTTGTTTATTGTCCATAGCTTCAGCTATATACTGAGTAATTTCTACAAAATTCGATGTGGTAGATCTTTGTCGCATGAAACCGTGCTGATTGGTTGAAATAAGACAATTTATTTAAGCATAAATTATGTTATACACTAATGTCTCCAAAACCTTCGCAAACTTATTTAAAATGGATAGAGAACGATAATTTTGGATATTCGTAATATCACCATTTTTGAACACAGGACATACTGTAGCTACTTTCCACACATCAGAAAATACAGACTTTTGGACAATTAGATTAAACATTTTAAATAAAGGTCTTATAAGCACATTAACACAATCTTTTAAAAGAAAACTAGGAATTTTGTCACTTTCAGTTGTGAATTTATTTGGAAGATTATTGATTGCCTTTAAAATGTGGTCTTCAGAAATGTGTGAAATGTTACAGCATGGAATATTATTTACTTCGGAATTGTTAGCGATAAATTGTGTTGGAATATAGACACTTTTAAAATAGTTTGCGAAACCTTCAACAATAGAACTTGGCGTAGTAAAAACATTTTCATTACAAAATACCTTTCCAGGAATTCTCGTGCTACCTTTTTTTTTATTGAATGTAAGATCAGAAATTTTCTGGATAACCTCACACATTTCATTTACATTTATATTACATCAATTATATCTAAAAATGACCAGTCCACATATGACAGGGCATTCTAATGACCAGGGAAAAACGCTTTTTTGAAATTATACATTTGGGAATCAGCACCCTGAGCAAAATTGACAAAGCTAGACTAAATCATTTTCAGGAAACAAATTCTGTTTATTATAATGCAATCATGCGCAAAAAAGAAAAAAAAGCGCAAGAAAAAACAAAAGAAAAAACCAAAAGAAAAAACACAAGAAAAACTATAAGAAAAAACCACCTATATTTAATATTTAGTGCGTTTCTTAACCTGTAGGGCGCCGTCCCCCCCACCCCTAGGAGGGCACTGTAGCATGTTAGACTTATAAGACTTTTAGTTACAATGTTTAGTTAGAGTTTAGTCATTATATGTGGTAACTATAGATTCATAAAAATAATTTTGAAAGATTAGAATATTGTCAAATAAAAAGAAAAATATTAATTCGTACGTTTATCAATTAATAATATCAATATTCCAACGAAGATATTTGTGGGATAAGGAACATCATACCCCCACAGGCACCATCACATCAAAATAAAAAAAAAACGATAATTATTAATAAAAAAAAATAATTCACAAAAAGAATAGCAAAATGATATTCATTCTGTCATTACAAAAAATTAAGTAAGTACACTACACGTTTAAACTAATAAACTATTTAATTATAAATACGATTGTATTAGTAGGTACTGTCAAATGCCAAATGAAACTAATAATAAGCTAATCAGTAATAAATTAAAACTGGCTTTAAAATTATCAGTGACTCTCTTGGACCTGTTTCCTACAGCAAAGTTTTTCAAAAGAAGGTTTTATATTACAATAGCCACTGTCAGTTCATTGTCTTTAATTCAGTTGAGACTTACATTTTATCTTTAAAGCAGCCACTGCAAAAAATACGGCTTCTCAAAGATAGGATGTTGAAAATGGCAATAATATACGAAATATTCTTGTTTTCAGTGGAGAAAAAGCATCATCCACTCCCGCCCAAAATTCAAAAAGATTTATTACTAAATTCTCTCTTGCAGTAAATTCTTTGAAGATTTCTTCTTCTGCAGCTGAGAGGCTTTCGGGAGTAGTTTGAAATGGAGCCCTAACCCATTCGTAACTTTGTCGTTAGCAAGAAAATACTTTTTTAAAATTTTGTGCCAACATGGCCAAATGACTTTCTATTATTACAAAAACAACTTTCACATACTATTCTTCTTCCTTGTATGTTTTGACACATTCATTCAAATTTTCAAACATTTCTAATTTTTTTGTTTCACATTCTGCTTCACAGCCCTAAAAAAGCACTAACTTTATCACTGATAACCAACATATGTGTGTTTGTTCCTTGGAGTTATTGATTCAGGGTATTTAATTTCTCGAAGATGTCGACCAAGTAACCCAATTTTCATCACAAATAAAACATCTCGAAACTTTTCGGCTTCCGTCCCTTTTTCCTCTTCTAGAAAAGTGACAATTTCCTCTTTAAACTCATAAGCACTTTGTAAAAATTTCCCACGTGAAAACCATCTGGTCTTGCAATTAAATAGCAACATCGAATGTTCTTTCCAAAGTGCATTAAAGATTCTTGATTTTAGGGGTCTCATTTTTATATAATTTACTACAATTACAACCATCGTGGCGTAGAATTTTTTTTTTTTTCAATTTCAACACCCTGTATCTCGAAAATGGTGCATTTTAGAGGGTAAGTTAATAGAAATGTGTTGCATATTTTTGGACGAGCTATCACGTCCTGAAGTCCTCCGCATATATTATGAAACACCCTGTATAATAAAATTGTCATACTTGTGAAATATCTTACAATGTACAATGATTTTTCTTGGCTGGCAATTTCAATATAAGATCTGTTTATTGCTAGGTACTTTATATCATTGCCATAAGAGCTCATTTTTTAATGGTTTTTTTTATAAAAGAGTACCAATGCCATTGTATCCATTTACGCAGTTTTCTGTTTTAGAGTTGGGTATAAAACACATGACTATTATGTAGAAACTGGAACAAAACAAAATATAAATAAACAACATAACCTCAAAAATAATAGTAAATGTTTTATCTAGAGCTTGGAGACAATCATTAAATTGACACACATACTTTTGATTTATTATATTCGCAGTTTTATTTAAACACGGTTTTTTTAATAAACACAATTAAAATTGTCTTATGATGAATTTTAAAGTTTGACAGTTTAATTGGAAATATCAAGATGAAATAATGTAGAGAGGACATAAACACTATTTTGCGATATGACAAGTGAATTCATTTTGAGTCGTATTTTGATTAATTTAACGTTAATTATTCCATATTTAAGGATTGACTCAAAAAGTTTTTATATCATTTAAGTCAAGCTATTTAAAAAAAAATAGTAGATAAGTCAAACATTCAAATATTAAAATGTCAGTAAATGTATGCTGTTTATTATGTTTTTGAATCCTTATAATTCCGGAATTGGCCTCAATATATTCTAATAGAGTTTATAATTATAATAATGTCAAAATCACATTGAAATCCTAACCTTGGTTATTTGGACCAATCTGTATTTACCATTTATAATTATGACAACTTACGAATATCCAAATCGTCTAGCATTAGAGAATACCATAAATACCATAAACGCATGACTTTGGAAGCCAGAGCCTCTTTGTGGATCATGCAATGGGTCCAGACACATTGCGGAGATTTTTGTTTCACAAGTGCTTGTACACTTTAGGGAAACTTCCAGACATTGTACGAGCACCATCGGTGCATGTTCCAACGCAATTATTCCTCTCTATGTTTACCTCATTAATAAAATTTAACTATAGATGATAAATATAAGATATATAAACGGGATGAAAATGAAAAAATTGGCATTTAAATGGAAATCAATTAATTGTCTCAAAACAACACCAAACAATACCTTTAAAACAACATGTTAAGATAATTAAAGTCATTTACCTCTGGGACACAAAATCACTGTACAAAACTTTGCACATTAAAATGTTTTGGGTCCTAGAAGGAAGCAAAATTTATGTGAGAGGTTAATTATTCTCAACATACCACATAATTTATTTTGGCAAAACATTTTATATTTTTTTTTTTTGTAATTCTTATTACAATATTTAATAAGCTCTTCTTTAACTACACATCTCGAATTTTCAGTTTCTTCTAATAATGTTTTGTAGATTTTTAATTTCATTTTTAATAACAAATCCTTTTTAGTATACGATCAAACATTTTATTTACCTAGTACTAAAGTATTGTTAAAATATCTGCTTTGTATTGTATATGATAATATTTTAACAGTATTTTCAATAATAGTGATATTCTTAACTACGAAAATCTTTCAGACAATTTAAAATGTTTATAAACTTCCCGTTCGAATGTATATGTAAATAAAATGTTAAATTATATAGTTTACTTTTCTATTACTTATAGACAATGTTCTGAGATCGTTTATGACTCATTAAGCTATATATTGAAACGATTTCTAATTTCGTCCGTCACCATTCGCTCGATAACCACCGTGTGCGGAGTTGAAGTTGATGTTGGAAGTTGAAGTTGGTTTTTAGTCTTCGCCAGACGCTCGCCTGAACAAACTCGAGCGGGTTGCGCGTTCATTTTACATACGCACGTAGAATTACGCGCTGCAAGTCGAAAGGGTTTTTTTTTCGAGCTAATTAATTTTTTTTTGGTTTATTTTTATTTTTGAAAATCAGTTGAGACAAAAAATGTGTGTTCCAGAGCCACCGCGGACGTCACCGCAACAGGACCAGATGGCGGCGGCTTTTTCGACGGCGGAACCCGCCACTACCACCAGGGAGAAGGAGACTGGAGCGGCGGGGGGAGAGTCGCCGGCCGATTTGGTCGAGTACCCCCAAACTAGTTCGACGGTAAGTTTTCATCCAATTCTTTCTCTTCTTAATGAAATGAACCCAAAGTTTAAATTTTCCCTGAGGTCATTTAATAATGTAATAATATAGAATTAAGAAAATTAAAAAGAAATAAAACGAAAGTATTGATACCATAACTAAGTTAAATGTTTTAAAATAACAGTAATTCAATAATTTACAATTTTTATCATTTGTTAAAGCCACTACTCTAATAGTTAAAATATAATTATAACAATAATTATTAAAAAGTCTAAAAACAGAACAAACAAATTATAAATATCAAAAATATTACCCCCATTATTATCACTACATTACTATACCTTTATAAAAAAAACTTTCTGTAAAAATATTCAGGAATCTGAGTTATACAGGGTTTTACCTAACCTCTGCAAAATTTTACAGATTTTTTTTTTTTTTGAAAATCAAAGGAAAACAAAATAACGAAAAAAAATGTTAAATTGATTATTATATATAAAAAGAAAAACAAACATCTTTCTACTATAAAAATATCCAGGAACCTGAAATTTACAGGCTTTTACCAAATCTCTGCACAACTTTACATATTTTTGGTGAAATCGAAAGGAAACAAAATAACGAAAAAAAAATATGTTAAATTGATAACTGTATAAAAAAATCTTTCTGTAAAAATATGCAGGAACCCGAGATTTATAGAGTTTTACCAAACCTCTGCACAACTTTACAGATTTTGTTGTGAAAATCAAAAAAAAAAAAACAAAATAACGATATATAAAAAAAAACAATCTTTCTGTAAAAATCTCCATGAACCTGAAATATTAAGGGTTTTATCAAACCTCTGCGCAACTTTACAGACTGGGAAATTCGATAGGAAAAAAATGTTAAATTGATTACTATAAAAAAACAAAAACTTTTTGTAAAAATGTCAAGGAACCTGAACTATACAGGGTTTTCCCAAAACTTTGCACAACTTTAAATGCTGGAGAAATCTAAAGGAAAAAAAATAACAAAAAAATGTTAAATTGATTACCGTAAAGTCAGGTGACTTTAGCTCAAATCAGTAGTTATTTTTATTCACAAAAAATTATACGTCCTTTTTTTTTTAAATAAAACTCACGCTGGTTGAACTGTAAGGTATTAAAACTACCCAAAACGCTTTATTTAAAGACAATTGGACGCTTACGCTTTTTGTAGTATAAAAAATTTAACTGATTGCAAAATAATCGAAATTGAAAGGTGATAAAATTTGTATGCAACCAACAATACTGTTGTTTGTAATATTTTTTTATTATTATCTTTACCGTAAGCAATAAAAAATCTTTCTGTAGAAATGTACAGGAATCTGATATATACAGGATTTTACCAAACTTCTGCAAAACTTTACAGACTTTTTGTCAAAAGGAAACAAAATAATGGAAAAAATGTTTAATTGCTTAAATTTGCTTAAATTTCACTGTTTTAAAATAATTCTCGCAAGTTACACAAGAATGAATAATGCATTTATGGGGATGAAGTAGTTATTGTATTTCTGCCTTACGTATTTTCTTTCGTTCGTTGTTTGTTTTCTTATGAAACCGTAAATATCTGTCAGATAAAAACTCGAATAAAAGCCCTAAGGATTATACAGCGTGGGCCACCGGTAACGCCTTGGTCTGTAGAGTCTAAACTATTTTAATTTTTTTAATCTCTTTTCACAGTGGCAACAATTTAAAAATTTTAATTATACAGCGTTCTCCAAGAAAGTGATACATATCAAAGTTAGGTTTTTTTACAGGGTATTTTACACGCTATAACCAGTTTTTTATAAAAATCGTATAAATTTCAATACAGTATACAGTGTAAAAGAAACAATTGTAAACCATTTTTTTGCGATAAAATGTTTTCACTATTAGTCAATGTTTTTTGCTGATGTACTATTTTCTTCAAATCAAAACAAATTTGTACTGGGTGAGTCAAAACTCAAATACATCATTTTATATTTTTTTCTTTTTTAATTTTATATTACCACTTATAAGTATCTTTATTAGTCTTATATAAAATTTATAATCGGTTAATTAGAAATAGAACAGAAAATGATATCACTATTAATTTAAATGGGACGTTATAGGTCAGAAAATAAAGTAGATAGATTAACATGTGAAAAATTAAAATAAAGCTATCTGGCCTGCATTTTTTTTAAATGTGTTTTTTTTAAATTGAACACACCTGAAAAAAAATGCAAGTTGATAGCCCGGGAGAATTTAAAAGAAAATCATAAGGATATCGAATTAGACCAGCATATTAATTTTTTAGCTTTATTCTAATTTTTTACAAGTATTCCCTGTCCTATTATTAAAAATTCCAATTTTTTCTTTATAAATAATAAAGCAATCTTGTAATCAGACGTAGGCTTTTACCTCAATTTATTTTTTACGCAAGAACAATTTTTCCCCGGCTGTTTAAATGTAAATCGTTCATTTTTTATTTATTTTTTACAAGATTGGAGCAATATATCATTGACCGATTTGAAGCTGCTTTAAACGATATACATATTTCACGATTTTTTTTAACACTTCAAGTGCGAAATAAAATGCAAGCGTTAAAAGTTAAAGTTTATCTATAACGGTAAAATATTATCTACCTCCTGAATATATTTAAAAAAAATTCAAGATTGTTAATCTTTATACTGTGTCAAATTAACTAAATAAATATCTTTGAAGGTAATAAAATTATTGTGATTTTTTATAAAAAAAAGAAACTGATTTGAGGACTTGTTTTTAGCTTTATCATTTGTTAACTCACTAAGGTACAAATATCATCATTGTTGATTCTTTTTATCTCTTTTTTTAATTGCTGGGTGGTGTTATTAAATTAGGTTTTATCTGATGGAGCTCTGGTCTGGTGCCATTTCCCCCTATCTTTTTGCAGAAATAAGGTTCCTTATTTCTTTAGGATAGTTATTTCCTGCTTGCTGTATGTTAGACGCAAGTAGTTCTAATTCTTCATCTAGCTGTTATACTGTTCTTAACGGATCCAGCCTAAAGCTTTGCAAGTCTGTTCTTCTGCTTATTAGTCTAAGAGCGCTTTTCTTTTGGATTGTGGTATCGCTAAGAATGAAAAGAATGATCTGAATTCATGTCTTATGCCTCATCAACTTGGAACTGGTTTGTTTATCTTCTAAAACATTCCAAAATATATACTTTATATCTAAAATTTAACATAGATATCAGTGAGATGATTTTTGTAGTCAATCTAAGATATTTCCGTAAAAAATGTAACACAACTTGACAACGTTGCTTCAAATGATGTCAGCATATAACCTTGAAAACGTATTAATTAATAATATAATATTAATGTAAAATTTGTGAAATTTTCATAACCAACCTGAATTTAACAACTGACCTATTCTTCAAAAGTGACACAACTCTAAATTCACATCTGTTGAGTTAATACTTAAAATGTGATTAGTAAGCTATTCTTCTAGATGGCCCCTGTGCCATTTTTGAGGTTTGATATAGGGTTGTTTACTGATCCCAAATATTAATTTTGAGTTGTGTCACTTTTGAAGCAAAGCTGCAATATGTATCAATATTTAGGGTTTTATATTTTTTCCTTTAAATTTCTACCTATCTGACGGATATTTTCGGTTTCATAAGAAAAAAAAAACCAACGGAATACGAAAAAGATGTAAAAAACGTTAGTAATTCCCAACAACGAGAGGGCGAACGTATAAAAAAACCATTTCGCACATCATTAATGTTACGTCCGACATTTCACTGCAAATTTAGCAGCATGTTCAATTTCCCAAGGATGTAGTTAACGAATTCCAAAAAAGATTCCGTTAAAAAGGATAGGGAAAGGAACAACTTCATTTAAAAGAGCGCTTGTTGGAGATAAGTCAAATGTATTAGAATTAGCATTTTTTCTAAATATTTTCCAATAATACATTGTTAATTATTTCTCTTTCTCATATATTATTATTCTGCCTTTTCAAACGTCGGTCGGATTTGAATCTGTTCTCTTCCTGGGCCTATCTCTATCAAAGTTTTCTCCATATCATTTCACCTAGGTTATTTAATATTCGAATGAAATTTTCACAAGTTTTTTTTAACGGGATAATGTATTTTTTTAAATTCAAAAACTCAAAAGAACGAATTTTTTTCTCGACAAGACAAAACATCAAAGGAATGATAATTTGTGGATGCGGTAATGTCTTGATTGTTCTGGTTACTGGAAGAATTATCAAGATCTTGTTAAATCTTTGTCAGAGTAAAGCCGAAGAAACCCAGACGTATAAAAAGAGAATTAAAAAAGTAATGATTTAGAATATTTATAGATAATGTCATGGATTTAAATTGCAGTTTTATTCTCGACGTTCATATTTAATGCGTTGAATATATTAATACAGGGTGATATAAAAATGTTAAAAGTGTATGTATTCCAAAAACGAATGACATCAATATTCTAAAATTTGAAATTGGGTAAATTTACCCTTTTTCCTATCATTATTCTACGCTCGATTATCACCTGACGTTGTAACATAGAAAATTGAGTATATTAGTACATTTTTATAGAAACTAAAACATCAAGCGACTTCAGGGCCAAAAACATTAACACTACAAATGAATATTGTCAAAATGGGATGCATTTTTATTAACACGTTGTGTCCTATCATTGACAATAAAATGAGGAACCTGAAAGAATAATGTATGTAATTTTTTAATATTAAATATCCCAACCGAGAACAATTTCACATTTCACAGTTAACAATATTTGAGAAAAAATTCAAAAAGTCATGTATAAATAACTATATTTAAATCAAATACTCAAGTTGATGTCTTTCAACTAAAATACAATGAGAATGACGAGTATTGATATTTGCTCGAACTTTTTCAGTAATTGGAGGTATTTTTGCAATCTCAATGCGTATCCGTTCTTTCAGTTCATTGATATTGTGTGGTCTATTTTGGTACACTTTACTTTTCAAGTATCCCTATGAAAAAAATCAAGAGAAGTTAAATCTGGTGACCTAGGGGATATTCTATTGATCTTCTTCTACCCATCCACCGATTTAGGAAGACTTTCCAAGTAGTTTCTCAGCAAGACCGCATAGTGTGGTGACGCATTATTTTGCCACAAATCTTTTCTGTTTGGGAATAACAGGTTTAATTCGGAAAACAAGAAGTAAAAATAATGTAAATATCGGCAATTGGACAAGTCCATTCTGCAAATAGAGAGTACAACTCCCTTCACCCGCAAGAACTGACGGTCGCCCGCTCCGTCTTCCACCATATAATTATTGTAATTCATCAAATACAAAAGAATCAATGGACATAAAATGTCGTTAACTAAAAGCATTCACGCACGCCATCTATTCAAAATATATCAAACTAAATAGAAGTATTTTTTGTTTTCACCTTTGGGACTCTGTGGTTGTGGAGTTAGACGCCTGATAATATAAAAATATATTTATTTGATTTCAAAAAATAAAATAAACACCTGTCTTGTTTGTTCTGTCTTCGTCAATATATTTTTTATTTACCTTCCTTAATGTTCTTCTGTTCTTCCCCGTCTCCATAACAACTGTCTTCAAGGCTCGACGAATCAGGATGCACCTCAAAGGTGTCTTAAGCTTAACATAATAATTACATTAGTTCCGACATTGACACTTGAATAACTTCAAATAAAAACGATATAAATGTCTTAAACTGAAATGACATGTAAGTCACAACTAAAGGTAAGATTATGTGGGTACACGATATCGTCATAATTTCCGAATTTTCAAATTATTCAGTCAACTTATTTCAGATATTTCTCTGACTTTTCGGATTTCGATTTGCAATTTCACGATAAATAAATTCACAATTTTCTAAATAGAATAAATTATTCCTGTAGCCCAAACCTGTATAAACTTCTACTAGATTAGAACACAACGCGAAAAAATAAACGACAATATTTAACGGCTCAAACAACTGACATAAATGGAATATCAACATGGCGCCTTCCTTTTATACTACCTTAAAGGTATCAACCTACAAATTTTAAACCGATACGCCACTGATTTAAAGTCCCAGCATCAAATTTAGTACCTCCTGTATTATTCATCATTGAAAGGGAATTTAAGAAGAGGTTGAAATCCGAATCATCAGTTTTTAAGAGATACTCCAAAATGATTTCAGTCCAGCCCTTATACTAACCAGCATTCTTGAGACAGGGTATTAAAAGAAAACGGCACCATCAAGAAGTCAAGAAACCTTTCCACTTTAACCACTCTTAATGCCCGAATCGCGTTCCACGTTTATAAGTTAACAGTCCAGAAGCTTTATTCCGAATTAAAATGAAGGTTAATGAAACGGTATATATACCTAACATAAAAATATCGTAAACCCGCAGGAGTGGTATCTCTCTGATAGAATGTAAAATCAAAGGATGAAAGGACTTGTATAGGAGAGGAACGTTGAGATAAAGGTTAAAGGATACGAGTCAGACGGTGTTTCTATTTGTATTTACCTTTGATTGATATTCGGTTTGTTTCTTATAGAGTTGGAAAAACTAGACTAGTGAACGTCTCACCATTGTAATAAATGGAAATTTAACTACTAAAAATCTAAAGAATATACAAAAGTTCTAAAAGTAATTATTGTTTTAACTAAATATTAAATTAAATAGCAACGTTCCGAAATAAACCAAACAACTAAGTTATTAATTTATACAATGACTTACATTGAACTAAAGAATTATTCATACATGTTAGTATTCTCAAAAATAATACTAACAGTCAACAAAACAAAAAAGGGCTATGCCCGAAACTCTGGCCGAAAGGCCGCTCTAGCAGTGGCAGTGGCTTAGTGATCATATGCTCCAAAGAAACGCATTTTTGCAAATTAAAAGTTTTGTACAGCGTATTGTGTAAATTCGTGACTGATTTTGTTTTTAAGACAGATAATTATTTTTCATGCATTTGAGAAATTCTAAAATTATACCCACGATCTAGAACACGAGTGATAAAAGTAATATAAAACCGAATGCATTTAATATGATAAAATCCCTCTTGAAGAAACTGAAGAGAGCATGATCATTAATTTGTGATATGAAATTTAATGAAACTCTCGAAACTAAATAGCCTCGTTTTTCGTTCTGGATTTTTATTACACCGACGTCAAAATTGTATCACTTCAGTTTTATATAAAATCTTCTCAGAAATACCGTAGCAGGATCGGCTCCAGATCTAGTTAATTAAAAATTGTATATTGTTTACAAAAAATTTCATAAAAAAAAATATTATAATAAAGAATTAAATTAGTACAATATTTAATGGCACCTATACAGGGAAATTAAAAAAATAATGATTAATTATAAAGAGTACTGTAAAATTTTAAATATAGAAAGAACATTTTAGATTAAAACATACTGTATACATACGAATTTTTCTCATAGACAAATATCTTAATCATAAGGCTTTTCTGAAAACAAATTAGTCATAATTTATACTTGGATATCTTTTAAGCTGTTCTGTCAAATTAAACCTTTGTTAAACTACTCAACGCTCAAGAAATCACTCAAACTTTAGTTAATTGTACAAATGACGGTCATACATTTTTTTTTTCAAATTATTACAACTTTAATTTAAACGATGTATCACACTTGATATTTTGCTAGACAAAAAAAAGTATTCGCTCAAGCTTTACATATATAAAAATATATTTACATATATAATACGGTATCTTTATTATTTACGAGTTTAAAGAGGTGGAACATTGTCTTTAGAAATACTGTATGCCCAATATGGATCAATCGTCTATACGTACGTGGTGTGATATCAATCAGTCACTGCCCATAACTTGAACGTGCCATGACAAATATTATCGATTTTTATTTATTAAAAACTATTCATTTATGTTTCAGTATATCTTCTAATCAAATATCCGAAATTTGTAATTGCCATTTTTGTATCTAAAATAGTCTACAAGAAGTAAATATCTAGAATTAAATTTCATATACACGGTGTTATATTCTTGCAAAGTCTAAGTAATAACATTTTTTAAGATCCACGTTTATTTGAAAAGGACCCTGTTTATCGTATATTAAATTCATTGCGACTCGCCCTGTATTCTAATAACAACAACGCGGATATCTCTATCGAACTCTTCGAAATCCATCTCGATCGTTCTATATTTAGACATTGGTGTGTCTGGAGTTCAAAATTTACTGAAAATACTTGGGAAAATTATTCATTTATTCTGGGTTATACCTTTTTCGGAGTCGGGTTTCAATTTTCAGTCGCAATAGAATTCCAGTAATCTCTCTCTCCGAATTTCTCTTTTATGAGATTAACAGAAACTGAATAACGAAGTTGGTAGAAATAAATAAATCTCTTGCTCGTTTTTTTATTAATTAAATTCGTTTTTAATGAGAATTAAAATCCTTATTAATTATTTTATATGTATGAAATACAGCAAATATTGTAAACAAAACTATCTACATTTCATTGTAAAGTTATGGAAATAAATATTATTTAAGAAAATAATAGAAATTACAAAGCAATGCTAATAACAATTGTAAATAATAAATATTAATACTCTAATAAAACACTTGGTTTTAGAACAATTATAAAATGATAAAAGAAAAGATATATCTAATATTAATGTATCATAAATAATAACCACACGCTCATGGAAACATTTTTACATATATGTCCTTATTAGTCCGCTTTTTTTTGAAGCTGTTCTTACCTCATCTCTCTTGAGTTTTTCTTTCCGTCTCATTTTTTCTAGCATTATACGTCGATCTCTTCTATTTGTCTTTGCCGTAACGTTGGTTGATTCTGCTCTCTGATTATTTCTACTAATGGTATGTCTATATAACTCTCTGTTGTAAAAATGCCAAATTTAAAATTTCTTTTCTCTAATTTTCTTTGTGTGTTAATGTAAATAAAAGTGTTTTTCTAGAAATATTAATGAAAAAGTACAAAATCCCTCCCTAGGCAGTAATTCCATAATTGATTCCATAAGTTCTATTAAAATAAACGAATATAGTACAATAAAGTTTTATTCGTCTAGGTATTCTATAGCATACCAAGAGTAAATATTGTTTATTTAAATCCTAACCTCATCTAAGATTACTTAATTTTTCATATTGGTATAGACGGGGTGAATGACCTGCTCATTGTGTTCCCTCATTACTCACCTACTCGTATTTACAATGTTTATTTTTTTCAGGTTAGAGGCGTAGAAATAGGTATAGTTCTTCTAGTATTATTCGTGTGGATAGCGGCCATAGCGTTATTCTTCAATCGTTGGGGCAAGATTCGAATGTTGCTGCCCTACCAACCCGACTATAAGCAGGAACAGCTGAAGGTGCCCGGGACGGCGGCGTGCGCAGCCGCAGTAGCGTCCGGCACGACTTGTACGCACAATTCGGGGGATCACATTTGCCAGCAGGTAAAATTAACATCAACAAATTTATATTACTGACTAAATGTGTATGTGTTTGTTGTAATTTTGTTAACGCTATTAATAATAAGAGTAGTTTGTAGGTAGAGTTATTTTCTTACTATAGTATAGATCTTATTTTTGACGAAAAATATACAGGAGTTCAAAGAATATCTATTAAGAAGAAAGGAATCTGTTTTACCGATGTCAAATTTACTTTGGTCGTGATTTGCATTTAAAATTACTGTTTTTCATTTGTTTTTGTTTTATCTAGAAACATTTTTTTACAATTTACAAGAAATACAATTTTATTTGTCTTCATAAAATTATCAAAATTCATTAATTAAGGAAAATAATCGACCACAAATAAGGAACAAATTATAAAAATAGCAAATTAAATATAAAAAATATAATTGTGAATATGAAAAACATAGGTCTAAACAAAAATAAAAACAATTATGGAAATGTTTTTTATCCATATTTTTAAATAATATATTTTGAGTTAAATTACTAATATCATTGAAAAATTACACAAAATACAACATAAAAACATGAATCAAATGTTTAAATGTCTAAACCAAGGTGAAAAATGTCAAATTAGACAAAAAATGACAAAAACGAAATTAAAAATAACGTTGGAACAAACGTAAAAGTCAGAAGAAAATTAAAACGCAAAAAAATGTTATGCTGATGTGAAAATCAGATGCTCTAACAGGAAAAGTAACGAGTGAATGGAGGAAAAGTCTAAAAATAACACAATAGGCTTTAAAACGTCATAACAAACTCAAAACATCGGAACATATATAAAAATGTTTTACAATCATTAGAAACCAAATCTGAACTACTAAACAAACGTAAAAACGACAAATCAAATATAAAAACGTCAAAACAAATTTAAAAACATCGTAATATAAATAAAAACATTTTGAAATCGTCGGAACACTGATTTAAACCACGGAACAAACGTAAAAACAACGAATCAAACGCAAACAACGTGATAACAAATTTAAAACATTGCAATAAGATGAAAATGTTTTAAAATTGTCCGAAAATAGGTCTAAACCAGAAAATAAACCTAAAAACGACGAATCAAATTCAATAAACCGTCCGTACAAATTCAAAACATTGGAACATACGTAAAAATGTTTTGAAATCGTCAAAAAACAGATCTAAATCAAGGAACAAATGTAAAAATGTTCAATGAAATGTAAAATTAGGACAAAATTAAAAAATATCGTAATTGAGTTAAAAAAACATTTTAAAATGGTCGGAAAACGGGATTTACATGGAACAAACATAGAAACAACAAATAAAATGTAAAAAAATTCATAACAAATTTAAAACGTTGGAACATGTGTAAAAATGTTTTAAAATTGTCAGAAATCGGATCGGAACCACGTAACAAACGTAAAAATGACAAATAAAGAGTGAAAGTGAAAGTGTCGTAATATAGGTAAAACCGTTTTAAAATTGTTGGAAAAAAGTTTGAAACTACGGAACAAACGTAAAAACGACGAATCAAATGCATACAACGTGAAAACAAATTTAAAATATCGGAATATGGGTGAAAAGTCGTTAGGAAATAGGTCTAAACCACGAAACAAACCTAGAAACGACGAATCAAATTTAATAAACCTTCCGTACAAATTCAAAACATTGGGACATGAGTAAAAATGTTTAACATCGTCAGAAATCAAATCGGAACCACTTAACAAACGTAAAAATGACAAATAGAATAAAAATGTCAGAATAAATTTATAAACTTGTCCTAAACCAAACCTGAACCACGGAACATACATAAAACGATAAATCAAATGTAAAAAACGTCAGAAAAAATTTAAAAACATCGAATATAAAAAAACCTTTTAAAATCGTCGAAATAGAAATCTAAGCCACAGAACAAATAACGTATGAGCAACGAGTCAAATGCAAAAAAACGTCGGAACATATGTAAAACAAATTTAAAAACAGTGATATAAGTAATAAAGTTTTACAATTGTCCTAAAATAGGTCTTAACCACGGAACAACGAGGAATCAAATATAAAAAATTTCAATACCATCGAAACATAGGTAAAAATATTTTCAAGAATTCTTAAAAGAAGAAATTAATCGAGAGGGTATTTAATAGAGTTAGTTTAAACCAAGGAACAAACTTAAAAACGACAAATCAAATATAAAATCGTCTGAAAACAGTTTTAAATCACGGAAAAAACGTAAAATGGACACATCAAATTTAAAAATAACGTCAAATTAAATTTCAAAAATGTCAAAACACAAAAAACACATAGCTATTTTAAAATAAAAGAATAAACAAAATGAAGGTCGATTAGTACCGAAATACTAAAGTATGTCGGTAATACAGATTCCAAACTAGCCAATCAATATGAACCAGAATCTTTGAACTATCTTGTATATTTTGTTGAATAAATCAAGGAAAAATGCGATAAAAACTATAAATACAGTTTAAGGAAGTTCGAAATCATTGTTAACCTTTTCCCAAGATAAAAATACATTTCAGTTTAGAAAAATATAATGTCCATTATCCTAAAATATGAAACTGAAATTGTAAGATTCTCATTTATTTGTCTAGAAAATGTTCTTACTTAACCCTTTTAGTAGGTAACAATAAGCAAAACAAAACGAAGCACTTTCCACTACGCCAGAAGCCATTTAATACCTTTTAATTAGGGTGGATCGTTTTGACAGAAAAAAAATCTTGTTTCACAAACAATTTGAATACTAAACAGTCGCTGTGACTGGCGAACGCATGTAGAACTGAATAAATTTTGTACGCGAATAAATAAAAACATTACAAACGTTTTTTCTTCTCGATTACGCGAAGCGGAAAATAAATGGAAATATTTTTATAAAAAATGTTTTTGTTAGAAATTCGAGGTTCAGTAAGTACGAGGAAAATTTGTTGGAATACATTCGTGATTCTTTATTGTTTATACCCTGTATATTATATTTTTGAGTTAGTTGTCAGTTTTTGAATGAAATAAAAAATATTGTCTGTCTATAAAAGTTTTAATAATTTTTAATTCTTCTGCACATCTCATATAAGGATAAATAAGACCTTAAATTCTAATAAAATTCAGTAAAAGGCAAGTAGTTTTCTTTTTTGACTCCTGCAAAGGACGCTCATGCTATAGATTTTGATATTTATGGGCGATTATTTTTAGAGCTGTTTGCGATGCAAGTTCGATACAGATATTTGTATAAATCGATAAACGTAATGTCTCTACCGGCTCTTGTTTGTGACGTGCACTCATTCAATTGCGTCTAGAAAATCTGACTGAGAGATATAATGACACTAAATTAATTATCTAATTTAATTCAATGAGGAATATACAGGGCGCGGCATAAATTCATTTTTTAAGTTATTTTATTCATATTTGAAACTGTAGTTTTTTATATAAGCCAACCCTCTTAATTTTTACGAGGAGGGTGCGGCTTGTGATACCCGATTTAAAAGTATGTATCAGTATGTTTTATTTATCAATAAATATTCAAATTAAAAAAATTAAACAGGATATATCTCAATACAGAACAAAAATAGGGTTAAAAAATGTAAAAAATGATTATGGAACGTATTTAAATGAATATACTGTAGAAAACTAATTTCAATATTTTTATTCACATAAATAATTTTTTATGTTCACTTTACAAAAACAAGAAAAACAAATTTTGATGTTTATGTATTTTATTTTTACTATAGTCATACATACTAAAAATAATGATAGCGAACTTCATTAAACCTAAAAATGCACTTTTTACTTTTAGATATTTAATTATTTAGATATAAGTAATTAACAGTTATCAAAAAATATACTAATACCTTCTAAATTTCAAAATAGTATGCATTAATGTTGGTAAAAATTCTTGCGCCTTTCTTAAAGAAAACCAAAAAAAATTGTCAAAGACGAGTAAAGCGCGAAAAAATATAAAAAAAAGACAAATAAATAAAAAACTATAAAAAATTAAAATAAACATCTAAAAGCATAAATAAAATATTAAAAAAGGTAAAAAACAAAAATTTATATAAAAAAAAAATAAAAAAATATAAGATATATAATAATATAAAAAAATATAAACAAGAAAAGTAAGGGGGCGTCCATTAATTACGTGAGGTGTTCAAGGGGGGGAGGGGATAAAACTAAATCTTTCTAAATCTCACTTGGGGAGGAGGGGGGGTTTTCGTAAATCTCACGTAATTTTTTTTCTGGTAGAAAACGGTGTAAAATTGCGTAAAAGTATAGTTAAATTATAGTAAAAGTATTTCTAGAATAAAATATGGAAAAATCTTATAATTATGTTTATTTTTTTATTAATTTTCATTTAAGTATTTATCATTTAATTTTATTAATGTGATTTTAAATAATTGCAACACTCTCAAACACTAGTCTTTGCTAGTCTTAAATAAAAGTAATGGAACATATTGTGTTTTGTTTTTTTTTTTTAATAATCCAACACATTTACACCCAAAACACGAATTTTGAAAAATCTCACGTGAGATTAGGGAAGGGGGGGAGGGAGTTAAGGAAAATCTTACCAAATCTCGCCAGGGGGGGAGGGGGAGTCAAAAAATCCTCAAAAATACCTCACGTAATTAATGGACGCCCCCTAACGAGTAAATGGAGGAAAACAAAATAGACTTTAAAACTTCCTAACAAACTCAAAACATCGGAACATATATAAAAATTAGACGCATCGGAACATAGGTAAAAACATCAGAAACTTCATCTGAACTACGAAATGAATGTAAAAACGACAAATCAAAAACACCAATAAAAATGAAACTTGTATCAAAAACTTTAAAATAAACATCAAAAGGTATAAATAAAATAATTAAAAAAATATAGAAAATATACAAATATATAAAAAATATAAGTAATATAAAACATTAAAAAAAAATTAAAAAATAATAAAAAATATTAAAGAATATTAAAAAATATTAAATAATATTAAAAATAATAAAATATATTAAAAATTAACAAAATATAGAAAA